TGGGCAACTTAGCACCTGTGTCCAAAAACCAAAAAAATAAGGCTGGAGATGTGGCTCAGTGCTTCTCCAGTTCAATCCTAGTACAGAAGTTGAAGAGAGGAAAATAAATATCTGAGATCTTGCTAAGTTGTCTATCCAGACTGACCTTGAACTCACAATCCTTATCTTCCTTTATTTTTAGTGATACTAGAGATGGAACCCAGGGCCTTCACACTGAGTTACATACTTGGCCCTTTTAAACTTTTAAATTTTGAGGAAAGTTCTCAGTAAATCACTACATTGCTCAGGCTGGACTGAAACCTTTTGGTCCTCTTTCCTCAGTGTCCTGGAGTGTGCTGGGATTATAGGTATGCTTCTCCACACCTGGTTTGGAGTTCTGGTTATCTTTATTTTTTTGTGAGCCAGGGTCTTTTTGTTTGTTTGTTTTTTTTGTACTGGGGATCGAACTCAGGCCTTTGGGTTTGCAAAGCAGGCGACAGAACCACTGAGCTAAATCCCCAGCCCAAGACAGGGCCTTGATAGTAGTTCAGGCTGGCCTTGAATTTACTATGTAGTTTAGACTGACTAAATTTACATTGATCCTCCTGCCTCAGGCTCCTGCGTTCTGACATTATAGGCATGTACCACCACACCCAGCCTTGTTTTGGGTTTTTTAGTTTTAGTTTTTGTTTTTTGTATGTGTGTTTTTGAGACAGGGTCTCAGTATATAGTTCAGGCTGGCCTTGTACTCAGTGTACCCAACACTCAGAGATTTTCATGCCTCAGCCTCCGAAATGCTGTCATTACAGGAATGTGCCCCCATTCCTGGCTGAAGTTTTGTATTGAGATTTCCTCAAGCTCGAAGATTCTTCCATCAGCAAAGTCTAGTCCACTAATGAGCCCATTGAGGGGTACCCTTCATTTCTGTTATAGTTCTCTCTAGTACTTCTTTATTGTTCTTTCTTAGAATTTTCACATCTGTGTACATTGCCCATCTGTTCCTGTCTGTCTGTCCATTAAAGCCCTCAGCATATTGGTCATATTTGTTTTAAATCCTTGATAATTTCTGGCATCTGTCTCATCCGAGTGGGTTTGGTCCTGGCCTGCCTTGTGAGCTGCCTTAAGGGCTTGTGGGGAGGTGTGTAGGGTCTCCAGTCCTGTGGCTGAGCCCAGCCCTCAGCTCCTCCACTCCTTCCAGGGTGGGACGGTGGGCTGGTTTGGACTGGAATGGGCTGGAATCTGCATCCTCCTGCCTGCAGGTCAGATAGGGGCTGATAAAACCTTTGCTCTGGCTGAGTAGTTTCTCCTGAGGGCAAATTTTAAGAACCAAATGCTCTGGAGTATTTCAAAATTATCTGTTTGCACTGGGCCTGCCACAGGTCGGAGGGAGTTTTTCTCTGAACACACTGTGAGAACCTTCTGGAGTCCTTGTAGGTAAAACCCACAAAATGCAGGGGCTGTGCGATCACTGGGATCCCTAGAGCTTTCCCTCTCAGGCTGGTGCATACAGAGCTCCTGACAACTCGTGTCCCTGGCATTGGCTCCCCTCGAGGTCTCAGCACTTGAGTGCTCTGGGAAGTTCCAGTTTGGGGGAGCAGCAGTCACTTGTCTTGGGGTCCAAGGAGAGTTGTGTTGTGTCTAAGTCGCGAAGTCTCCAAAGACCACCAAGGATTCATGTCTGATGTAATTGTAAGAGGAGCTTATTGTAAGTTCGACCCTGGACTCTCAGGTGTTATCGTCACAGCGGTTTCAGACCAAGAGTCCAGATCTAACTTTGAACCAAGTTTATTTATATAGGATTTTTCTGTTATTATTTTTAGTTTTTCCTTATCATCAAGGGGCATGGGGAGGGCACATTGGAACATGACCTAATGTTTATATTTGTAAAATTATCATGGGGTGCTGGGAGGGGTGGAGATGTCCTAAAAGAGGAACTGTAATTGTCAAAGCACAGAAAAACTGCCACATAAAATGGAAATTATTATATAGAATGGAATTTTTCACGAAGAAACTTTTATATTTATTCTATTCTGGATAAGGGGTTTGGAGCCTATCATGACCTGGAAACTTGGTCCTCACAGTTGTTGATTTTTTTTTTTTTTTTTTTTTTTTTTAGTTTGGCTTTCTACCTGTTATTGGGATGGATTGGAGACTTCTAAGCTCTGTGTATGCAGAACCAGAATCCTGAAACCATTTCCTTCCTTTTTTTGTCCAAATGATAGTCCATAGTTGGTTATATGCCATGTTTTGTCTGTCTGTCAGTTGGTGGTGGACATTTGGGTGGTTTTCTACTTTTTGGCTATCGTAATACTTAAGCAAGACATTTTTAAACATTTGTAATTCCCATCTGGGCATGGTGATACATGCCTCCCTTCCCAGCATTTGGGAAGCTGAGGCAGGAGGATTTAGAATTTGAGGCCAGCCTGGGCTACATAGGATGTTCAAGGCAGCTTTATCTCAAAAAGGAGAAAGAAATCTGTAATGAACAGAAAAAGATGAATTTTAGCTGGACATGGTGGTACATACCTGTAATCCAGGTACTTGGGAGCTGGAGGCAGGAGATTTGCAAGTTCCAGGCCAGCCTAGGCAATTTAGAAAGACCTTGTCTCAAAATAAAAAATAAAAAGGGCCAGAGATGTACCCTAGTGGCAGAATGGGTTGAATTCCCACTGCTACTAGGGAAAAAAAGTTGAACTTTCTTTTATATCTATGAGCTTTGAGGGGAGGTTGAGGAAATTGAATCCAGGGCTATGGTACTGAGCTACATTTTCAGCTTTTTAAAAAATTTTTTGTTTATGTATTTTTTTTGAGATAGTCTCACTGTCACCAAGTTGCCCAGGTCAAACCTGTGATCCTTCTTCTCAGCCTCCCAAAGTGCTGAGATTACAGGCGTGCATGCACCACTGCAGCCAGTCCTTTGAGCATTTTTCCTAAGGAAATACTGTACTTAGAGATATGCTACCTTGTCTCTTGACTGTAGCTACCTACTGGAGCCATTTCCTGCATACTGTACCCTGTGAGCTGAGTAGATGGCAGTTTGCAGTACAGCAATGACTTAATTAAAACTAAAGTCCCGAACCCCTGCTGATGAGCGCAGGGCAGATGAAAGCTGTAAGATGTAGGTATGTGTTGGGAAAGCATTTAGCCATTTGATTTTTGTTGTTTTCTTTCTCCCTAATGATCAGTACTGAGGTGTTCTGGATTTGCAGTGTTAGAAAGGCTGTCACAGGGCCCTTGCATAGACCCGGTTGCCTTGCGAGAGTTTGTCTGCAGTGTAGTTGCCGAGGATATTCTGAGAGTTGAGAAGTTGGACAGTTGTACATGAAGTCCCTCAGGGAAACATTTCCTCGTGGACAGGGCCCTGGGTCCATTGCCAGCACCATAACAAAACAGCCCACTTTCCTCTACCTTTCTTCTTAGGATCAGATCTGCAAACTCTCTTCAGGCTTGCACGTGAAACAGTTTAGGAAAGAAGACCAAGTCTGGGGTATTGGTCCAGCTTAGTGGTTTAGAGCAGGTGTCACTTTATTTATATTTGTACATGGTTCTAGGGTCAGTGTAGGTCCTCTGGCGTGGCCTGCCCTGTTGGGCCCGGGCGATGTGGAGCAGCCTCTCACATCTGGGCTGGTGTGACTGAAGCCACCCTTTCTACACAGTGCCCCTTCAGGGGGCCAGTCTGGCCGGTTCACAGGGTGACAGGGAGACCAGCTCCTGCGTGCAAACACTTGCATGCCTTGGCTTGCCTCACATTTGTGAGTGTATTGCTGGTCAAAGAAAGCCATGTGGCCAAACCTAGAGTGAGAGGTTGACCAGTGCATTCTTACGAATGATGGTAGGAACAGCTGAGTCACACTGCAGAGGATGGGAGGGACCATCCAGCCATGACTCCCCAAGGAGCCGTGAGCCATGGGTGGGTGTGGTCAGTGGGCTGCACGCGTGCTGCACTCCCCGCTTGTCACCATTCCTTCATTCTACACATTTTTATTGTCAAAATGGGGTCAAAGAAAAGGGAGATTCTTATCCTCGGGGCAGAAAAAAGGGAATATTTCCATTATTATTATAGTTGAATCCTTTAGTACAAAGCCACTCAGAACTGACTCAGCACCAGGCAGGACTCTGCTGGGTTTGTGGTGGAGGTTTTTGTGGGTACCACAAGTGGAGTGAAGATTGCAGATGCTGTTATCTGACTAAAATGGTCACGTTTATTTTTCAGTGGGTTGGATCAGAAGGCAGTTCCAACCCTTAGGTTTTGGAGTGGAAAAGATATTTGAGGCCTGGATCTTACTTTATTCACTTTATTAACTTCTCTTGGTGTATGTAAAGTAAGGTTGACATCTCTCCTCTCCTTCTTTTGAAACTTATTTCCTGTAGCAAGGTGTCATGTGAACACAAAGCAGTATTTCCTCTTGTAAAAGTTTGTGCAAGTTGCTCTATTAATTAAAGTATGTGCTATAGAATTATAATGTGTTGAATTTTCAAATTTAGTGATGTCTAACTCAGCCTGAATAGTTTTTTTGTCCTTCTGCCCCTTAGTTTTCTGCCTTCTACATGAGGGGCTGGCAAGATGGGGACCGTGAGTATGTGGTTGGGGACCAGGGAGGATCCTGGAGGATGACAGGAGTGACCAGCTGGAGTTGGAAGGAATTGCGTTAACTCTTACCAGAACCTATGCAATGAATGGCAGAACTGTTCCACTTCATATTTTACTTAATCTGTCTTACAAGTCAGTACTGCAAGAATTAACTGGCCTCGAGGTGGACGAGCCAGGTTGGGCACAGAAATTAAAATGAACTGTGCCAAAGTCTGCGGATGTAGCTCAGTGGTGTTGCACCTGCCTTGCAAGCACAAGAGCCTGAGTTTGATCCCCAGTACCAAGAAGAAGGAGGAGAAAAAAAAAAACAAACTGCCAGGATGCAGCCTAACACACCCTGTCAGCGTGGATCAGGGCGTAGACACATCCATCTTCTCTTTTCCGCCTCAGTGAGGATTTTAGTGGTAGCCTTGATGCTAAAGGTGGGTGACATCAAAACTTCTGTCACTGCTGACAGCTCTTTTTATGAGTGATGTTTAATATAGTGCATAGAAGAAATAAAACCTGCAAAAAGTCTTAACAAAGGCTGTAGAAAGACTTATTAGGACCTGCACGGAGAGGGCTGCGTAGCCAAATACAGCAGATGTGGGAGGTGGGCAGCCAAGGATTTTATTGGTGATCATCTTTTTGCTCTCAGAAGGGAAGGTGATAATCAAGAACTGTGTGCCAGGCGGAGGTTAGCTTTGTTCTGAGGGAGTTTTTGTTTTAATCCTACAGAGCCACGTGAGGTTTTTTGACTGGCGATCAGAAATGCTGTCTAACTTATGCAATGCAGGTATACCAGTCACCTCTGCCAAAGTGCCTGTGCCTGTGGGACAAGCTAGGGATTCCTAAGGAGCCTCCCACCGCAGGTGGGTACCATGGCTATTCTCATTTCACTGGGCTCCCAGCCTGCTCTTCCCTAAGTGCGCTGGGTCACCGTGCTGGGGGCCCCGGAGCTGGCAGGAGCTGATGTCTGGTGCCTGTGGCCTGAGATGCACAATGTTACGCTGCCTTCTCTGCTCACTCCCTCGTCCCTTCGTTGCAGTTTCTTCGTTTCTCAGAGTCTTGTCTCTTTGGACATCAAAGCATATTCTTTATCCTCACCTGTCCTTATTGTTGGAGGGTGAGGGCTGTGAGAGGAGGGGCTGTGCGCCCCACTCCCCTCCCTGTGTGCCCGTGGCGTCAGCTCCTTCCCGACCTGTTGCTGAGTAGATCTGGTTAGTCGATCAGAGAGACAAGGATGATAATAATCTGTCGAAATGAGAAGGGTAAGCATTACTTTCACCACACTTGTGCAGTCCAGCAGGAGGGTGCCAGCCCTTTCACTGCTGTTCACATGACCTACCCTCAGTGTCACATTAATTCTCTGTTCCCTGCTTCCTAGAGGCCTGCTGCTTTCTTGGTGTTCCACTTTGCTGGCTCTCTGGGCACCGTTTAGCAGCTCATCGCTCACTGTACTAAATTCAGGACCGAACTTGGACCTGGGGCCCTGGTGATGTCTGATAACGTGGAACCACTCCATGGTGACCCAGGCCTCGGGACGTCCCTGGCATGGTTTCCTGGATTTTGTCCTAGACAGTCTGCCTACCCCTCACATGGCAACACCAGCCTCTTTTGTTCAGCCCCATGCTGCGGCTGAGTTGTGGGTCTCCCTCGCATGTCTGTAGGTGCTCGCCACAGAGTGAACGCCCACCCGAGCCGGGCTCGATGCTGGCGGCACAGAGCTGAGGCTGTGCAGCAGGTTTCCCATATGGTTGGACAATGAGCCTTGGCGACTTGGGAACAGTGTCAACCAGGTATGCAGTGCCAAGCAGCACAGATTTAAAGATTTCCTGATCCTCCTAGACGGCTGAGCAGAGATTTTATCATCGGCAGCACTGCAGCCAGCCCATCGTTGCCTTGGCAGCGTGATTAACTGGAGCACCGAGTTGACAGGACACGAGTGTGGGGATCTCTAAGAACCTTCTCTCCAGTGCTTGTGTTGTGTCGTATGTTGAGTTGGGTGTCCAGGTTTCTGGGAGTGAAGAACATTGCCTTCTACTGGGATTTTAGCATTTTTTTATTCAATGATTCAGTCAAAAATGTTTTTGTTGACAGTAGTATTTCTAACATGCTTAGTGCAAATGGAAATATTTGTATTAATGAGGCTGAATGTTGAGAGTGAGCTAAGGAGAGCGTTTCCAGTTCCAGTGGATTCTGGCCTCCTACCTGCTATAGGAATATGGAGAGGTCCAGAGACTCAGGTTTGGTGTTGGTACTCAGCCAGTGCCCAGGTGCCCTTCCGTGGTACACATTTCTGCCCTGGCTGACTAGGGCGAGTCTTCCTCTAGGACATGTACTTTTTTTCATGGTGTGTGTTTGCAATGATATCTGTCTGTCTGCATGAAATCCTATGTTTGTATGCCAAACATCTCATTCAGGAACGAACAGATTACACACTTGGAGTTTGCTAGACGACAGTCCTTTTCAACAGTGACCCGTGGTTAGGAATGGTTATAAGTAGTCCATCTTACAGAGCGATGTGGTTCACATGTACACGTTCATAGGCACAGACACGGAAATGAAGCAGAACTCTCCTGAATTTTCTCACTTTGTGTAATATACTCTATTTTCTATTCTAGCTTTGCGTGTGTGTGTGTGTGTGTGTGTGTGTGTGTGTGTGTGTGTGTGTGATGGTCTACACTGAGCTACATCCCTAGTCTTTTTTATTTTTTTATTTTGAGACAGTTGTGTGACCTTGTGATCATCCTGCCTCAGCTTCTGAAGCAGTTGGAGTTACAGGCCTGAGCCACCACACATAGCTCTTTCTGCCTTTATTTATTTGTTTGCTTATTTATTTATTAGATTTTTCAGACAGTGTCTCACTGTGTGGTTTGGCCATGAATTTGTTCTGTAGCCCAGGCTAAGCTCAGACTTGAGGTGATCTTCCTGCTTCAGCCTTCTGAGTGCTGGGATTACAGGTGATGTATCATCACATCTGGATATTTTAATTCACTTTCTCTTTATAGTGGTCATGACCCACAAAATTGATTTCATCATGTACTAATCTTCAGTTTAAAACCATTGCATTAGGGCTGAGGAAGTAACTCAGCAGCACCATGCCTGGCAAACATGAGGACATGAGTTTGAATCCGGCACCAACAAAATAATACAGGGCTGAGGATTTAGCTCAGTGAGCTGCCGCCTGCCTTGAAAGCACAAGATCCTGAGTTTGATCCCTGGTACTAAGAAAACACCAAAAAACAAAAGCATTGCATTAGAGGTAAAGACTTTCAGCTTTCTTTGTCCCTTTCTTTGTGATTGTGTATATGGGGTAGATTCTGTTCTCATTTTAATTTTGAGACAGGATCTTGCTTTGTTGCATAGGTTGGCCTTGAGCTCTTGGGCTCAAAACTATCTTCCTGCCTCAGCCTCCTGAGTAGCTGGGACTACAGACACACAGCATTTTGCCTAGCCCCTTTTCTTTTTTGAAAAAAATAATCCTTTGCTTTCTGCCAGATAGCAGAACAAAAGAACTATATGAGTCATGTATGGTGACATATGCCTGTAATCCTAGCACTCTGGGAGGCAGATTGCAAGTTTGAGCTCAGTCTGGGCAATTTAGCAGTTTGATAATATCTTCTCACAATTTTAACAGGTTTGGGGAAGTAGCTCACTGAAAACCCTAAGCTCAACCTCTAGTACTGAAGGAGTGGGGAAGACTGTACAAATTTAAAATCCCCCTTGAACTCAGCTCTCCTGCCCCAGCTCTCAGGGCAGATAGACCTTTGAGGGGTTCCTTCCTTTGAGTTCTGTGCCTGATGGGAACTGGGATAGTTCTCTGTTCATTGGTTTAGAGTAATCATCACATCATTTTTTTGAGACAGGATCTTGCTATGTAGCCCAGACTGGCCTCTAATTTGAGGGAATACTCCTGCCTCAGCTTCCTGAGTGCTGGGATTACAGGTGTGTACCACCACACCCAACTTCCATTACAGTTTAATAAAAGGCCCACGGTATTACCTCTGCTGTGGCTTATGAATAGCAATGATGCCATTGTAATAATAAGTGTTTAAGTGTGTACTTCGCTGAGGCATGGGCTCAGTGGTTGGTGTGTGCTTTCTTGTTATTCCCTATCTCATTCTGTGACAGAAAAGGTCTCACAGAGGACAGCATGAACCCTGCTCCTCTCCACACCTTTAGACCTCTGTGATGTCAAAGTTTCCAGACCCTTTGGTCTTTGTAGTACTAGGGATCACCCCAAGTCCTCATCTGTGCTGGGCGGGCACTCTGCCACTGGCCACTTTCCTGGCTCCCAGTCCTTTCCTTCGGCAGATATTCAGGGTGGCAGAACACTGTGCATGTGGCTGGCAGACCTTCGGTGACATGTTCAGCGCCCTGGCCACTTTGCTGGGCACCCTACATAGACCAGGAAAGAGGGTTTTAGTAAGGTAGAAACTGCGGAGCTGAGGGAGTCACTCACTTCCCTCCATTTAGTTCTTAAGAATACCCTGCTCTTACTCCTCCTTCCGTGGTCCCAAGAAAGAGTGAAAAGAAAATAACAAACACCCAGGAGATCACTGATGCTCTAGACAAGAGCGTGTAAGTGTTGGATCTCCTAGCCTGCTCTCTGCTCACCTTTACCCTACTCCCACCTCATTACGAGTTCATAAATATATGCACTGCATGTTAGGAATATAATTTAGGTCAGAGTGGATTCTGGGACACACATGCATGTTGAGAGCCCCTAAGATGCCTTGGCTCCCTGTCAGTCATTCCTGTCAATCACCCCTAGAGATTCACAGGGCGGCACATAAGCAGAAGTGCCTGGCCTTTTAAACTCCAAAGCTGGCCATGGTGGTGCCTGTCTATAATTGCAGCACTTGGGAAAGCTGAGGCAGGAGGATCGCCATGCACCTGTACTGTATAGTGAGTCCCTGTCTTATAAATAAATTCAGAGAGCCGTGCTTTTTGTTGCTGCTGCTACTTTTGTGTGTTTTGACCTGTGTGCAGTGCTTTTGTCACCCCGGCAGCTTTTTCTCATTTTTCTTCTCTTTTCTCTCTCTCTCTCTTTTTTTTGGGTACCAAGGATCGAACTCGTATCTGCATGGTGGCACCACTGAGCTAAATCCCCGGCTCCTCTCCCTCTCCCTCTCCTTCTCCCTCTCTTTTTTCCTGCCTTCCTTCCTCCCCTCCCCCTCTCTCCTCTCTTCCCCTTCCCTTTCCTTCCTCCTTTCCCCAGCACCCTTTTCTGTCTGTGCCTTAGGTTTTTCAAGGATTTGTCCTGAGCACAACTAGCCATGATTACCAATAAAATGTTGCTGCTTACTACTTAGTCCTGGGTGCACACTAGGCCGTTCTTTCCTTCTCGTACACAGGAGCATGGGTTATGCAGGCCTGCTCCATGGCAGCAGTTCCACTGTGCAGTGTGATGAGGATGGGCAGCAGGAGGCCCCAGAGCGAGCGGGACAGGTAGCCCCACCTGTTACAGGCTTCCTCCCTCCAAATGTCCCTGGTCCTCTGCTCCCGAGCAGTGGGGTGTGTGTAGAAGGATCTTGAGTGGCAGGTGCTGTCAGTCCTTTGTTAGCCTCTACAAACCCACCAGGAACAAAGGATAGGCCAGCTCTGTGGGTGATAATTAAAACACTTGAGAACTCCTCTACGATCAGGTTCCAGTGGAAGCTTTTTGTTGGTGTGATGATCCCCAGTGCCGAAAACGTGACCTTTCTCTACTTCAAGTCAGGCAGTTCTGTTCTCTGAAAGAGGGTATCCGTACAGCAGTTCATTTCTTCAAGTAAAGTACGCCACGTAGGAGGTTCAGAAATTCCTGAGTTTTCTGTTTGTGTGGCCCCAGTCTGTAGGGCTCTGGCCTACCACTCTCAGTGCAGTGCCGTCTTTGTGGCTGGCCATCCTAAACCCAGGCTTTTAGATTGTCTCTTTCTCTTACACTTATTTAGACTGCAGAGAAACTCACGTTCTGTTTTGTACTAGCATTGGTCATCTGAAGACTTGCAAATGGCTCTGATCTGCCTAGTGAGGTAGACTAAGGACAGACACAGCCTTCTAGACCCTGAGCAACCCCGGAGGACCCAGCCAGTCCTAGAGCTTGTTGGAAATGTAGTGCTGCGTTTCTCAACCTGCATTCTACAGTACCTAAGGGGTTCCAGGGGACAGGAGAACTGAAGCTGTGTTGGGCCGGGCCAGGCCCACTGCATCTCTTCTAGGTGGGGAGGAAGCAGCAGCAGGTGCGCTTTGTTCTTGCTGTGTTTCCATTTGCCCAAGGCACACGTGTGTCAGTGAAACCAAAAGCTTTGTGCCTCCATCCTTTGAGCACCCTGATAGATGCCAGTGCTCCCTGATTATCTCCTCTGCTCAATTAAACCCTCAAAATTATATTCCAATAAATATCTGGGTCAGATACACCATTTGTCAGAAATGGGTTTCCTGAGTTATAACTGAAATAGAAAGAATAATACCTCAAGGCATACAAATTTTAATGTGTATGTGCAGTGTGCCAGTAAGCCATGATCACAATCATGTTCACCACCTACTAGCGTTTTCTGCTGTCCCTTTTATAGCCTCAGTACCCCCAGGCGATCACAAGTCTGCTAACTTTCATTTTGTAGAGGAATGATATAGATACGGACTCATACAGTATGGCTTCTTTGGTTTGCATGGCCTCTTTTTTCTGTTGTTGTTATACCGGGGATCGAACTTGGGCCCTTGTGCTTGAGGGGCAGGCCGTGGAACCACTGAGCCAAATCCCCAGCCCAGTTCATGATTAATTTTGTATGTATTATGAGATGTGGGTAAAAATGGTTAACTCTTTTTGTATATGGATTTGCAGTTCCAAATCTTTTGTGGAGGGATACTACCCTCTTTCTGCAAAGTTTCTTGGAACCTTTGTCACATATCACTCATATTACATATAGAGAGAAATCCCTTAACATCTAGAGCTTGACAAGAGGTAAAAATCACCAGGAAAGAAGTGAGAGCTCTGGATTCCCAAATATGATGGGGCTTGGCTTCCAGGTGGGGTTTTTTCTGGAGACAAGGTCTTGCTTTGTGCAGGCTGGCTGGCCTCGAACCGATCTTGTAGCTCAGGCCAGCCTGAACTCGCGGCGATCATCCCGCCAGCCTCCCGAGCGCTGAGTAACAGGTGTGCGCTATCTCACCCAGCTTGTCGGGATCTTTGAAGGGTACCGAGAGTGAGAGTGGACCTGTGAGTGCGCATCCTAGTTGAGAAAATAGTCCCCGAAGCCACTCTTGGTAGTGCTCTCCTCTCTCACAGAACGCTGGTTGGAGGAGGCTAGGGAGTTTGTAGCAGGCACCTTCTAGAGGCATGGGAGAGACATTAACTCATCACATCAAGTAGGTAGGTGTCGTAAGCCAGCTGCAGAGGTGGTTGGACCTCCGAGGAGGGGTCTGAGACTGAGGAGCTTCCAAACCCCTATCGTGTGGATTCCACGTTGCACAGGCTCTGGAAGGTTCTGGGTCAGCATTTTTGGATTCAGAGTAAGCATGACTGAGGCAGCAGTGGAGCTGACCCCAGACTGCCACTGTGTAGACCCCCGGTTCTGTACCCATCACTGTCAGCTCAGAAAAGCCCTCCCCAGGGCCAGGGATTTGGCTCAGTGGTGGCGCCGCCTCGCAAGCACAAGGTCCCAAGTTCGGTCCCCGGTACCAAAAATAAAAGCCCTCACCAGAGAGATACATGCTGTCCCAGAGGCAGCAGGCATGAAGGATACAGGGTTGCCCCTGGCAGGAGTCCCTGTGCCTGTCTCAAAGTAGATGAGCAGGGAGCTGACCTGCCCCTCACGCGGCTCCTCATCTTCCTGGTTTCTCTCTCACCTGGCTGGGGAGGTTCTGCAGGCGCACAGCTCTCCTGTATCAGGCTGAACCTGCTCTCAGGGCCTGGGCAGAGGGCTCGGGCTTGGCGCTGGGGTACAGGTGGCTGTGTTGCCTTCTGGGACAGGCTGGATGTTTTGGGGGAGGGAAGGCTGACTGTGGTTCCTGTGCGTGCTGCAGACCCAAGTTTCCTATCAGAAGCTGGAGTGTCCACCTAACACTCTGGGAAACACTTCTGTTTTCCAGGCACTGCTGGCAGGCATGCGGAACAGGGAGAACAGCTCACCCTGCCAGGGCAACGGAGAGCCAGCCGGCAGGGGCAGGAATGTTGTGTGGTTGGGTGAGGAGGAGCCCTGCAGTGACACGACCACCCCTTCCTACAAGAAGCCTCTCTATGGCATCTCCCACAAGATCATGGAGAAGAAGCACCCGCCCTCGGGGGACCTGCTCAGCACCTACGAGGCCTTCGAGAAGCCGAACCCCAGCAACAGCCCCTCCCCGCTGCGCCTGCTGAGTGAGCCTCAGAAGCGGGACTGCAGTAGCACCGGGGTGGCCACCGACGGTGACCCCAATATCTACTTCCTGATCCAGAAGATGTTCTACATGCTCAACACACTCACATCCAACATGTCCCAGCTGCACAGCAAGGTGGACCTGCTGTCCCTGGAGGTGAGCCGCATCAAGAAGCAGGTGAGCCCCTCTGAGCTGGTGGCCAAATTCCAGCCACCCCCTGAGTACCAGCTGACTGCCGCTGAGCTCAAGCAGATCGTGGACCAGAGCCTGTCGGGCGGTGACTTGGCCTGCCGGCTGCTGGTGCAGCTCTTCCCCGAGCTCTTCAGCGACGTGGACTTCTCCCGAGGCTGCAGTGCCTGTGGCTTTGCCGCCAAGCGGAAACTGGAGTCGCTGCACCTTCAGCTTATCCGCAACTACGTGGAGGTCTACTACCCCTCGGTGAAGGACACGGCGGTGTGGCAGGCTGAGTGCTTGCCGCAGCTGAATGACTTCTTCAGCCGCTTCTGGGCCCAGCGGGAAATGGAGGACAGCCAGCCTGGAGGCCAGGTCCCCAGCTTTTTTGACGCTGAGCAGGTGGACGCCAGCCACTTCTTGGACAGCAAAGACCAGGAGGAGGCCTTGTCTCTGGACCGGAGCAGCACCATCGCCTCTGACCATGTGGTGGACACGCAGGACCTCACCGAGTTCCTGGATGAAGCCTCCTCGCCGGGCGAGTTTGCTGTCTTCCTGCTCCACCGGCTCTTCCCTGAGCTCTTTGACCACCGGAAGCTGGGCGAGCAGTACAGCTGCTATGGTGACGGTGGCAAGCAGGAGCTGGACCCGCAGAGGCTGCAGATCATCCGCAACTACACGGAGATCTACTTTCCGGACATGCAGGAAGAGGAGGCTTGGCTGCAGCAGTGCGCCCAGCGCATCAATGATGAACTGGAGGGCCTAGGGCTGGAGGGGGGCAGCGAGGGTGAACCCCCGAGAGATGACTGCTATGACTCCTCCAGCCTCCCAGACGACATCTCTGTGGTCAAGGTAGAGGACAGCTTTGAGGGCGAGCGGCCTGGCCGGCGCTCCAAGAAGATCTGGCTGGTGCCCATTGACTTTGACAAGCTGGATATCCCGCAGCCTGAGTTCGAGGTGCCAGGCACCGACTGCCTGCTCAGCAAGGAGCAGCTGCGCAGTATCTACGAGAGCAGCCTGTCTATTGGCAACTTCGCCTCACGCCTGCTGGTGCACCTCTTCCCCGAGCTCTTCACCCACGAGAACCTGCGCAAGCAGTACAACTGCAGCGGCTCCCTGGGCAAGAAGCAGCTGGACCCGGCTCGCATCAAGCTGATCCGCCACTACGTGCAGCTGCTCTACCCCCGGGCCAAAAATGACCGCGTCTGGACCCTGGAGTTTGTGGGCAAGCTGGATGAGCGCTGCAGGCGCCGGGACACTGAACAGCGCCGCTCCTACCAGCAGCAGCGCAAGGTGCACGTCCCGGGCCCTGAGTGCAGGGACCTGGCGAGCTACGCAATCAATGCTGAGAGGTTCCGAGAGGAGTACGAGGGCCCCCCGCTGCCCCCAGAAAGAAGCAGCAAGGACTTCTGTAAGATCCCCCTGGACGAGCTGGTGGTCCCCTCGCCCGACTTCCCGGTGCCTTCTCCCTACCTGCTGTCGGATAAGGAGGTGCGCGAGATCGTGCAGCAGAGCCTGTCTGTGGGCAACTTTGCCGCCCGGCTCCTCGTCAGGCTCTTCCCTGAACTCTTCACCGCCGAGAACCTCCGGCTGCAGTACAACCATTCCGGGGCCTGCAACAAGAAGCAGCTGGACCCCACTCGGCTGAGGCTCATCCGTCATTACGTGGAAGCCGTCTACCCTGTGGAGAAGATGGAGGAGGTGTGGCACTACGAATGCATCCCCAGCATTGACGAGCGGTGTCGCCGCCCCAACAGGAAAAAGTGCGACATCCTCAAGAAAGCCAAGAAGGTGGAGAAGTGACCGGCCTGCGGGCCGCCCAGAGACTCGGGGTTGCCGGAGCCCGAGCACTGGGCACCTCCGGGTCCAAGCGTCACTGTGGAGCACGTGTGGCCCCCACAGGCAGGCACCTTATGTCCACGGGGAGTGGCTTCCTACCTTTGCACACATAAACACCCCACCCACAAGAAAGGAGCCTTGACTCTAATTTCTCGTACTCCGACTTTCCTGGGTCCCCAGTAGCGCTGCTGCAGTTTGGGGGGACTGGAGGAGCTGGGTGCTCTCCCTAGCTGTGGCGTCCCCGACCCCACAGTGCAGAGTGCGAGCTCGGCGACTTCTGCACCCCCACCTTTTTACATTTTATCCCTTCACCCTTTTTTAATTAAACTGAATCCCTTTTTTACAAAACAAAAATCATTGGGCTCTTTTGGGGCCATTTTACTTAGGAAAAAATCTTTTTAAGTATATGAGACGAAGTACTGTAAGATGAGTTAGGTGCTGGGATTTTTAAAGAAGATTTCAGATTTATGAATTTTGTATAAGTGCCATGTCCATGCATGACAGGTGATCACAGCGTCAGGTGCAGGTGGCAGAGAGACTGAGCTCACTGACCTCATCTTTATTGTGGGGTTTGGAAGACTCAGACGCCGCGAGGACGGCAGTAGAGGGGATGGGATGGGAATAGCGAGCGCAAAGCTTGTTCTGACCGTGTTTTCCTTCCCGCTGTGCTGCCCGGGCGAGTTGTGTACCCGCGGCTCAGCGTGGCTGCCGCCGCCGTCTGGGCAGAATGTGGTGCCCGCTCGCTCCATAGACGAGAACACTGGATGACGATGATGATGTGAATGTAGGTGGACTGGGAACGCGTGTTCGTGATGTCCTTGTTTGAGCTGTGTCCCGCAGCCCCGTTCCCTCTCCATGTGTGGGTGCTGGTAGACAGGGCAGTCAGGTTTCCTTGGAAAACAGTGTGTGGGCGTTTGGCTTCTTATTTGAGTTAGGGGTGGGCCCCTTCGGGCTCACCAAGAACTGTTTGTTCTCCGTGTGGGTATTTGCATGAAATCCGGGTTCTGGCCGCTGTGTGGTGACTTCCCCAGACCTGTCTGTGTTAGCTCCTCCTAGCAGGACATCCTTGTTCCTGGGGCCCTCTTGGGAATCTGTGGTGTTGGAAGGACACGGGTCATCTCAAGTGGGACTTCGTGTCCTCGCAGGTCCACTCAGAACTTTCTCCATTCTCCTCAGAACCCTCAAGGTTCTGCTGTCCTGACTCAGAAGGTCAGACTGCCCCAAGCCTGCATCTTGCTCTCAGGAACGCTAACTAGGAAACCTCTGACGGGTTGTGTCCTGAAAACAGTACTTTACCCTCTGCGGGGACCATATGCTTAAGGGGAAAGGAAACAATATAACCCAAGTTGACTGCATCTTGCCAGAGACCCTAAAAATGACTGAATCAAATCAGGTAGTCATAAAACCTAAGGATTTAATATTTTGCTACCCTAAAATGCAGAAGTAATAGAAATAATCTGTGGACTTCCTTCATACAGTTAAGAATGTTAGTTCCAGTGACTCAGATGACATCATTTGGCCTTCACTCAGTGGGCATTTATATATGTATAACAATTTTGAGTAATGTAAAGTTGCTATTTAATGTCATTACAGATTATTTCTGTTGAAACTGCACACCTGTATTTTTGAAACTGAGAGATGCACAGGGACTTGATTACTCTGTCACTCACCCACACATTGAACACACGTAAGGTGAACGTTCAGTGAGAGGAACGGGCCCAGTTCTGCTTCTGTGCCTGGATGGAAAGGACGGGGGCAGCCGGGAGACTCACTTTTCCCCCCTCACTCGGGCCTTTCCCTTTGCCTTAGTCTCCCTCACACACACATACCCCTACCTGAAGATGGCTGGGCCCTGTACCCTTGGCCCTGCCGGTTGGGGTACCATGGGATGTGTCCTGGTCTCTAGGACGTATCCGAGAGGATTCCAAGCCATGTGAAAATGACCCTGCTCTCTAGAGAAGGGGGTGTGACCCTGAAACTTCAGAAGCACAATCATTTATTTTTAAAAATTCTTTAGTCACAGTAGAGAAATCAACACATTGTGAGAATTCAGTGTCTCTTTGCAAACTAGAGCATGTTAAAGTTTTAGAAACTGTTTTGATGGTTTCCTTTTCACCTTTCTTGTGTAGGGCATCTCCCCAAACCCTGCGACCCCTTTCAGTGAGAGGGGTGGATGTGCTCTGGGAGCAGTTTCTCGTCCCTTGGTCTGTGTTCTGTCTATGATGCACTCACCTCAGTCAAACAGGTGGCTCCAGAGGATGTGTTTTTCACATGAAGCAATAGAAGTACAAAAATGCTTATTTTTTTTCAGAATCTAATGTGTTCCATAAAATCTGTTGCTTTCCTCCATCCAAATTCTTTGATTTTACTTGTTTGTGTTTTGGATTTTTTCCCCTTATATCCCAAGGACTAAAGGCTTAGCACAGACACATTCTGCGTTAAGTAAAATAGTACGTCACGGTAGGTGGTAGTGGTCTTGGTTTTCTGTTAGTAAGGTGTTAAAGAATGTATTGAGGGTAGACATGAATGTATTGTGTTCACATCCTGCTTTAGTTCTCGTGCCCGTGTCTATATGGTGACAACACTTGACAGGGAATAAAGTGTCTATTGTCCTGAGTGCTGGTGTGCCCTCCCGCTTCAGTCTTGACCCCAAGAGTTCCTTTTCTTTTTAAGTTGGGAGTGGGGCTACCTGCAGCAGTCACCAACCAACCATGGGATCTACTCCGTGGCAAGGGATTGGCTGTTTGGATGGTAACTCACCACAGCACAGCCCCGCAGAGCCTTGCTCCCTGCCCAATTGGCAGGGCCTTGGGTCTCCTGGGGAGGCCGGCTGTGGAGATCCACGATTCTGAGGTCTGGGTGGCACCCCAAGGACCAGCGCCGCTACGTGGAAATACCTGCCTCGGTAGATCCAGCCTTAATGTTTTTCTGACATCCTGGTAGGAGCAGACCCTGCACAAAGTGGATATCAGAGTCAATACTGTGAGGAGACAAAATAATGAGAATAGTTTTACCAAAGATAATGAATTGTCAAATACTGTCTACATTTTACTATTGATTTGAGTGCATCCTTAGAAAACTGAATGTAACAAAAACCCAGGACATTTTTGCAAATTGTATGCTGTCTAGCAACTTTGTGTGAATTTTTATACAAGCACTGTTTTATGAGTTATATAAAATATTATAAAAATAGAAAACCTGTGGTCTCCTAAGGTCTTATTTCCTTAGAGCACCGGTCTCAGAACAGCTTCCATCTGCTGTCTGTGGGTTCCTCCCCTCTCCCTGGGAAGATTGTGGATGTTCAGGACACCAGCTACAGCTTCCCCACTTGTGTTTGGGACAGCTCACAGTGTTTTAGTGTTTGACTAGCTGAGTGACTGAGAAGTCACCAAATAACCCCCACCGCCAATCCTGTACTGCCCAGACCACTTCCTGGCTGATCTTTACCCTCCTGGTCAGGTGCCAGACCAGGCCTGTAGCACACTTCACATTGGGCCCGCCCCTTCCACCAGGGATCAGACCGGGTGGTGGTTCCTCAAAGCTAACAAAAAGATGCGCATTTCCCTCACACTTTCCTTTGGCTAGTTCTAAATCAGGAACCTTAAATGGCATTTCCTACTAAAAATAACAGTGTCTCCAGCTGTCACAGAAAGAGTGTTTTGGCACAGGGATCATACCATGTAGTTGGTGGATTCAGTTGAAACACTTTCATACAGCACCTGCTTATTTCTGGTGTTTTGGTGCTGGGGATTGAATCCAGGGCCTCACATGCCCTGCCACTGCCCCTTATTTTCTGCTTTGGCAGCTGCAAAGCCACAGCTTAGCCCTTGTTGACAGGTCAGCCGCTCTAGGGGCCAGAGACCCAGATGGCAGATTCAGCAGCTGTTTAAGCCAAAATTGAAGAAAGACTAGGTTCCTAGTATTGTTATTATTACTCTTTGAGCTCCTGGCTGTAGCGATCTTTGTTTTCTATCAGAAAGGGTCACAGTATTTTGGTACATGAGTGCGTACCCGTGTGAGTGCTGCTTCTAAGAGTGCCACACCATTTAGGGTCTTCGCACTGGAGCTGCCGTGGCTCTCCAGGGGCTTCGGAGAGCTGTGTCCACGGTTCCTAACATGGAGGGGAAGGAGGGAGGGAGTGGTCACTGCCTGCTGGCTGAAGTGACACCTGGCAGTGAGACTATCACAGGTGCCAGGAGAACCGGGCCCGAAGGATGCTTTGTAACCCTTTCCAGAGCCCTGTAAGGTAAGTTCCATAACTGCCACGATGACAGGCCAGGAGTCAAGGCCCGCGTGGCATATACTGGGCCACCTAGTTCCCACGCAGTGCCGTGGCACTGTTCGGTGATAAGGAAGCACGATGAAGTGAGTTTCTCGTTCAGGTTCACCGAACTGGCAAACGGTGCCAGGCCCTCAGCCCCAGTCTGTTCTAACCGAATACAGGTGTGCCGGTTTTACAGTTGCACTGGACGACAACATTGTAGTGACCGCAGGCAAACATGGTCTGTAAGTCGACTTTTTGAGACTGACACGGGTGCTGTAGGTGGGATGAGCTTCCTGGGAGCAGAGGCAGAGACTGGCTGAGGGCAGGAAGGTGGAGAGACCCGGGGCCCTGGGAGGCCCTGCGATGTGAATTTAGGGCAGAACTGGTTCCAGCTGAGGCAGAGGGGCTGGCTGCCTTTTGTCTGAGGTCTTCCCCAGGGAAACAGTAACTAAATAAATGCAGGGTGGCTGCCTTTGGCCAAGGACTGCTGCAGAGGGGTGACAGACACCACCGACATCCACTCACGACAGGGATGAGTGTTTCAGGGTTTGGCATGAGAATCCAGGGGCCTTGTTTAACATTGCTGAGCGCCAGGCCCAGGAAGTATGGTGCAGTGGCTGAGTGAGGTCTGAGCGCCTACGAAGCTAGCAAGTTCCCAGGAGCTGCTAAGGCCACTGGTTCCAGGACCATACAGGGTGCACTATAGTAATTTCCCAGAATGGGCTGTTTGGCCAAAACAGGGTATTAAACAGAAGGACCTGGTAAATACAGGTCTGAGCTGAAATAAGTGGTTTTCTACCTTGTTCATATAGAACTGACTGCTAATCTGAGCATGGTGGCACACACCTGT